GAGGAGGAAACTTAGTAAAAGGTCACAGTGCACAGCACCATGAAGGTGAGCATGAGGTGGCAGAGAAACCAGGTTTATTAGGTTCTGCCTGCTCCCTCCATTTCCTCTTTGGATCTGGTGATTGACTTACCTGCCTGCCATTTGTGTAGTGTAAGCATTGCTGGTCACCTCTGGACCAGAAAAAAAAATATCCCCTTTTATTTTTTTGACCTGATCTACACTATATCTTAGAGAATTAGCAATTACTTTGGTAAGGTCTATAAACTGGTGGGCACTTGGCAAGTAGTGTATATATGAATGAGAAGAAAGGTGATGGTGAACACTTATGGCACTCATTTTGGTGAAGGGATAGCCTCTGGAACTACATCTTTAGGTCATGGGACAAGGCGTGGAGAAGGAGACTACCCTTGGGGCTGGCCCAGGGGCTGTGTCCTCACTTTAAATCTTGTGACTTGGAGAAAGGAATCCCTGGGTTTGCCTCCTCAGCGTCCTCTGGGTGAACACTGGCTCCCTCACCAGGTTGCTCCCCTCTATTGCTTACCACAGAGTTTAAATTAGTTAAATAATTTAATATTTAATAAGGTCAATAAAGTGGTCCTTATTCAACCCAAGTTCTTGTGCCTGGTCTTTTAATTCCCATTGTAGATCAGCAAATAGTTATGAACTATTTTATTCATATATTTGAGTCTGTTCTTTATTAATCTAGGGAATACTGAATGACTGCTTACTTTCTCCTTAGTGGCTGAATTCAGATGTAATATTAATTCATGGCTTAGTGTAGCAGGAAGCCACAGAGAGCCTCAGGCAGCAGAGCTCCCTCTCATCTCTTCTTCTTCAGCATGGCTGGGAGAAGGAGATCAGAAGCTTATTTGTTATCAGTCCTTCAAAGCCAGGCTCCCCACCATTTGAAATGACAGATGCATTGCAACTGAGTGTTCTGTGTTTCCTTGTGTGTTTACATATCTAAACCCTTCATAATGAAAAAGTAGCAATTTAGCAGAGAGAGAACCCCTCCAGAAAATAGGGACTGTCCCTGGAAATTTGGAGCATTTGTTGTCGTTGTTGTGTGCCTTCAAATTGTTTCCAACTTATGGTGATCCTGAGGTGACCCTATCACAAGGTTTTCTTTGCAAGATTTGTTCAGAAGGGTTTTGCCTTTGCCTTCCTCTGAGGCTGAAAGAGAGTGACTTGTCCAAGGCTACTCAGTGGGTTTCCAAGACTGAGTTGGGATTTGAACCCTGGTATCCAGAGTCAGTCAAATGCTCAAACCACCACACCACATTGGCTCTGGAACATATGTACTCCCTCACAAAATCTGATATCATGTTACAGAGTTTATAAAGAAATCTTACAAACATGTCTGAACTTTGTTTCTTCTCATTTGACAAATCAAAATAACATTGGCTCCTCGGTTAAATATCAGTTAAGTAATTATTTGGCAACAAAAGGCATAGAACTATTATGGGACCAATTCTGTTGTGATCGTGCAAAGACAATTTTGTGCCCTGACTACATCTGAGCAATGCTTGTTGTGATAGAGATTTTTAAGAAAACAGTTGGTGAGGAGATTCTCAGAAGACTGCAGGGACAACATTGCAGAAAAATTGATTTCCTTGCCAATGCAGACATCATAATTGGTACAGAGACATAGATGGATGTGGCTAGGATAGTGTCTGATCATATCATGATGGATACATTTCAGCTTGTGTAGCAGGGGTGGGCAAAATATATCCCAGAGTTTCATGCAACTCCCCAACTTTTTCAGCTGATTTCCCCAACTTTCCCTGAATTGCCATTTCAAAAAGAAAAGGCTTGCTTCCTTAAAACCTCTAGAAGTGGTGAATCACCTTTTAAATAGGTCACTGTACTTGTACTGTTTAATAGTTTGTTGTTGTTGTTGTTGTTGTTGTTGTTGTTTCAAAAATCCTTGTTGTTTGAAACCAAGAACCAATTTCTGGCAATTTATGGATTACTGTCTCCTTGTTTTGGAACTCTCTAGGGACAGAAAATTATTTTTTTTGACCGACTGAAGTTGCTTACCCATGTTGTAGAACCTAAAGATTTAGGCAAGCTGCTTGGAGGATGTTCTATCTCTTTGATTCCAGTAGATGAAATTGGCCAGATTTGGGATAGTAGTATGTACTCTGGAAATTTATGTCTTAATGAAACGGGGGATGGTATCTACTGCGATTCAGTAGGTATTGCTGAGACCCTGGAAAACCCAGGCTCAATCTGACAGTTTGGGACAATTTCCAGTGTCAAACATATAATTTTAATGGAATACATTGAAGGAAGTGATGATTTCCACAACTCCAGGTAGCCTTTGATGACATAGATATTAAGCAGCAAATACAGGTCACCAATAAGACCTTATCCCATAAAGTGGTGGCAAGTTTCAGGAATCACATGACAACATTAACAATGAAGTACTGGAGATATCTATTTGCAAGTAAGTTCCTTTGAGTCAGTGCTGCTCACTCCTATGTATATGGGTACATGAAAGCAGCATAGGTGACACACTCTCTTTTTTCTCTTTTTTGGATGACCGCACTAGGGAGATTAATTATACATGGTTTTTTGGGGGGAGGGTGTAACTGTTTACATTCTTTAACAAGCAGAGGAAAAGAGGCACATCTACAAGGAATCAGGCTCTGATAGCAATTTGTGCAGCTTCTGAAAGGTGACTAAAATTAATTTCCAGTTCCAGAAAGAAAATCTCCATGTCCTTTTTCCAGCCATTCCAATGGGAAATTGCTGTTTCTCTTTCACTCATATCACACCAGCCGCTTTCACACTGCAAACAGAGTAAAAAAATAAAAATAAAACTGCAACCTACCTCTGTTATTGCAGCCATCATCTCACTGTGATTGTCTTTTCTGCAACTGGGGGCTGCTGTCCCCATCATATTCCCTTCCCTTCCCATCCTGTTCCTTAACACCACTATCCCTCCCTTTCTCTCTGGCATGCCTTTAAAAAAAATAAATTCAACTTTTGTTGCACAATTTTGGAGCTCTGCAGCCTCTGTTTAACATTTTATTTTTTTAAAAAAACTTGAGACTGCAGGGCTCTGAAACTGTGTGAAAACCTTGGGGGGGGGGGAACAGTGAGGGGGAGGGGGGAAAGGAGGAGGAGGGGATAGTGGCACCAATTGCGCAAATGCCCTGAGAATGGCTTTTCGCACCTGGGGATCATGCAATTGGCAACTCATTCACAGGTTTCCCCCATGAATGAGAAGGGATGGCTGGGGGAATGGGACAGGCTCAGGAGGGAAGTGGCATCATGCAGTCACCATCGCTGATGCTGCTTTTCTCCTAAAAACAAAACAAAACAAAACAAAAACAGTTTAAAAGCTGCATATGACAAAGCCCCTAATTCTAGCTTTTGATCCCATTTCAGCTAGTGAATTGCCCATCCACAACTATTAAAGAAACATACTGTCAAAATCTTGACAATTCATAGTCTAAAGGCCATTAAATTCACAACAGTTATTTTTAATTGTAGATGAAAGCAAGGAGAATGTTACTTTTCTCCATTCCCCCCTTCTTATTTCTACTTACTATATGTGAATAGCATTCTGTTTTCACTGTTAAGGGATGTCAGGGAAAGATGTATCTTGTAATGTACTGGTTGTAGGATGTTTCCCATAGAGGTCAGGCCCCAAAATATTGGTTGATGCACTCACATACAATATTACATTTAGTGCTTTTAGTATCAGGCAAAGTACTTTCTAATATTAGTTTCAGCAATGCAATGATAAAGAGCTTTATATAATAGCAAAGTTCTGAAGCAGACCTCAATTAACAAAAAGTGGAATTGGTTACAATATCTGTCTGTGGAAATCCAAATTATGAAAATGAATGAAAAGAAAACATTTAAGTATTATAATGTAATTTTAGTCTATGGGGATTTTAAAAGACATATGATGGGATTGTCACACTCATTAAATAAATGCTACTGGGAGATGAGTCAATCCATGTAAGAATTGTAACTCCCATTAAGGGGCTAAATAGTTAAAGTCATATGATTACATCTTTTTAGTTAGCTGAAAATTATAGCTATGAGTTTAACAAACTTGAAAATAGGAGAGGTATTCTCTTGAAATGTGAAATTAAAGGTTCTGTGATTCATTTGTTATGCAATTCACAAAAGGCCCACTCCCACCACGTATTTCTGTTGCAGAATCCACACTGGAATGAATGGCAGGTGGAAAAGAACATGTATTTGAATAGCTTCCATTCATTTTAGTGCTGCTTGGGGATATCAAATGTCAGCTGTATAAGGATATATGGGCCAAGGCCTAAATATAGTTTTAGGGGGGTTGCAGACTGCCAGAAATAGTGCAAATTGAATCCACTTTTAGGGTTAGGGTTAGTGCTAGGGAATCATGGGAATTGTTTTTTTTCCTGAGACATTGCGCCTTCTCTGTCAGAGAGCTCTGGTGCCACAATAAAATACAGTTCCCATGATTCCATAACCCTAATCCTAACCCTAAAAGTGGATTCAATTTGCACTATTTCTGGCAGTCTGCAACCCCAATGAGCCCTTTACCAACTTGTAACACAACTCCTTTCTACACCTGTTCTATAATTGCATCATATACTATCTCATGAGCTATGAAATAAAAGTTTTTTTCTTTTAATGTTGAAATGATGTTTCCATGTTTGTGAAACTGAAGTCTACATGGGATTTTTCTCTTTGCCTTCTGCTTTGCCACCACCCTCTTTGCTATTTTTTGTTTACCATAATATCCAGTCTAAAGAAAGTTGCTTCACAAGTTTGTAACTTCTTGGTTGGTACAAATAAAATTAGTCTGCTATTTGTCTATTAGTTTGGGGGATTTTTGATGCATAATTTATTTTTAAATGGAACTTTTTTGTTGTTGTGTGCCTTTAAGTTGTTTCAAGGATTTTCTTAGAATGATTTGTTCAGAGGAGGTTTGTTATTGCCTTCTCTTGAGGCTGAGATCATGTGACTTACCCAAGGTCACACAATGGATTTGATGGCTGAGCCGGGAATTGAACTCTGGTCTCCAAAGTTGTAATCCAGTATTCAAACCACTACGCCACACTGGCTCTCTGAAAACAGAACGATATTACTGGATTTGCATGACATTATATGTTTTGTAAGCCATGTTGAGATGGCATTGTTCTGTAAGGTGGTCTAAAAATAATTAAAATAATAAACTAAAATGATGCCTCTTTAGCAGAGCTTGGAAAAGTTACTGTTTGGACTATTTTTAAGCTATTCTGGCTCGAAGATTCTGAAAGGCCTGAAACAGGAGGGCCAAGTAGATTGGCATGAGGCTACACTGGTGCCATTCATGCCAGGACCACGGTAATCACACGTGCCCAGTCCCAATCCAGGCCACCACCACAGTCCTGAACCAGACAGCCGGAAGGAGTGAGAGTCAAGTTTATTGCATTGGATTAAAGGTCTTTGCATAGAACTACAATACATATGTACAAGAAACATATAATATATAAAATATGCACAAATCGTGCTCATAACAAAGTACAAAAAACATTTAAAATTAACAGTTAAAATAACCATTATATCTCAGATACCATTGTTATATATATTCTTCACCCTTACAGCTAATAGCTATTTCAGATATAAATTTCCTCCTAATTATTTTTGCTGCTAAGGCAAATAAAGCCACTTTCCAGGACACATATGTGTCAGAGTCCATGAGGAGATGAAGAACTACTTCTTGTGGGTATTGATTAGAAATGGGTACAATTAAAGATGACAAAAATCGTTCCCTGGGATCTTCATAAAGTGGGCAAAACAGCTTACATTTTTTGGTTCTTGATTTCATGAAGAAAAACTTCTCTGTGCATTTAGGCTGTGAAACTTCTTCCTATAGGAGGCTGTTTTCTTTCTTCTGGAAGGAGAAATTCCTACAATCAAGGCATGCCTTTTTAGGGCTTCCAATTCAGAATCATCCCAGGCCCTGAGGTTTCTGGGTCAAATGTGAGATGTAGGTACAATCAGTGGCGTCACTAAATATGGCGTCATCCCTCCATTGATCTCCTCCCATACCATACCCATATAGAATCCTTAGTAATGTTTTTAGTACTAATGTTAGCTCATACATTGTAATTCCCATTGAATGTAATGGTAATAGTTGTGACATAAGCAAATTGCAAAATTAGAATAATATCTTTAAATTACAATACCATATGCAGAGCTTAAAAGTATTTACATATACATAGTTTCATGTGGTAAAAATGAAAAGTTGATAAAATGTGATTTTTTAAAAGTAAAATTTAAAATAATATATTTTAATAAATTAAATTATATATATATATATATATATATATATATATATATATATATATTAAAAAACCTGGAGCCTGCCCTTCTCCCTCCCACTGAACCTCACGCCACTCATACCATCTCTTCAGCATTTTCATAGGACATAGGTGAATGCCACATCTCGTTTCTGCCAAAATGTATATGTTTGAGGAGCAGTGGTGTCACACCCCTTAAGGTGTCACCTGTTGTCATCTGCACCTCCCTGGTGACACCACTGGGTACAATCCTGGTAATGCCATTAACTATTATATATTAAGTTGCCCATAGCTTTTCATTCAAACAGAAAGAAAGAGAGAGAAAATATTTTCATGTTTGGAAATTAATTTTTTTTAGATAAGGTGGCTGTTCCAACATCAGGGTGAAATAAGGGCATTATTCCTTCTCATTTGCTCACGGAGATAGAATTAAGAACATTTAATCTATCTTCTAGAGCAGGGGTCCCCAGACTTTTTGATCCGGGGGCTGGTTCGCTGGCCCCCAGATATTCTGGGGGGCCGGATGCACATGCACATGCGCGGCTCCGGATGCCATTTTGTCTTCCAAAATGGCACCTGGAGTCGTGCGCATGCACACGCAATGCCGGGCGCAAGTGCACGACTCCAGATGCCATTTTGGAAGACAAAATGGAATCCGGCATCTGGTGCGAGCGGCGGCGGCAGGGCAGAGCGCGGGGCGGTAGGAAGGCCTTGGCGGGCTGGGTCTGGCCTGTGGGCCGTAGTTTGGGGACCTCTGTTCTAGAGAACTAGTGTAATCTAGTGGTTTGAGCATAGGACTAGGTCTCTGGAGACCACAGTTCAAATCCCCACTCAGCCATGGAAATCCACTGAGTGATTTTGGGCAAGTCACACTGTCTCATTCTCAGAGGAAGGCAAAGGCAAACCCTTCTGAATAAATCTTGGCAAGAAAATCCTGCCTTACAGTTGCCATAAGAGCATAAAAACACACAACAATAATCTAGTTTATAATTGGATCTAGCCAGAAGGTTGATGAAGAGCAAAGCAGAGGATTAGCCCTGGTGTTACAACAACTAGTAGAGAAAGAGGAAGAAAACTGAGTTAATACATGGACCCCCTGGAGAGACTTTTAAGTTGCAGCAGCCAGTCAGTTAAGCCTTGGAAACTATAAAAAGCTGCTGTTTTCCTAGCTGGACTGGAGATTTGTACACAGCTGTTTCCTCTTACCTGGAGATGATCCCACCAGAACTGGTGAATTTGCACTCTTGTCTCCTGCCTGGCAATGACCCATGAAAACTGGAGAGTCAGGGTTGATCCCTGGGATCTAGCAACTCTAAGGAGATTTTCACATGACAAAATAAAGCATCCTTTCCCTTATGGGATAAGGTCACGTTACGGGGTGCAAATGGATATTATCGCACACTAAAACACTGACTGTCATAGGGTGACTACAACCTTCCTGCCAGCCGTGTTTAGCCCAGTGATTTCCAAGTTCTTGAAAATCGGCGGGCTAATCATGGCTGGGAGATGGGTTGTAGTTGCCCTGTGACACAGTCAGCATTTTTGTGTGTGATAACATCTGTTTGCAACTCATAACATGACCTTATCCCATCAGGGAAAGGACACTTTATTTTGCCATGTGATAATCTCCTATGTCTCTAGCTATTAAATGGTTGTCTCAAAGGTTGTTTTTTTTAATGGTGCTGGGCAGGTGCTATACATTCATCTCCAGCATTTTAAACTCTTTTAAATTAGTGTTTTAATAATATAGCTTATCTGAAGTTTTAGAAATGTTTTTATTATAATGATTGATCTATTAGATAAATTTTGTTTTACTCTGTATTGTCAGCCACCGTAATCCCCATATTGGGTGCAAATAAAATAAAAACATTTGTATGTATGTATGTGGGCCCTTTACAGGGACCCCAAGTATTGGGTATATAATGAGGTTTTTGCAGTTTGCCATGTGCAATGCCACATATTTTTTCTGTGGGTGAGAAGCGCTCGAGAGACTGTGGCATGCTTCTAAATAGAAATAGATGGTAAGAATTGCCATGATGTTTCTGAACACCACAGTTGCTGAATGAGCTGATATGGACAGTAGCTGTGCTTCCCCCCTCCCCCCCCCCATCAATGAAAACCATCACTCCAATTGTTTCAGTACATTTACCTTAGGTTTTTAATAATCTGCATGTTAAGGTTATCTCACTGGGACCTTGGTTTCTGCTAATACAGTTATCTTTTTACCAAATTATGGGTGAAAACCTTTATTGTAGAACTAAAGCAAAAGGAGGGATGAGAATGGGGTTGTTATAATTTTAAAAATCTATAAAATACGACAAGCTATAAAGATTTTTAGAAAGAACATAGATGGTAATTAGGGTTACACTCGGTCTGTGCTACAGTGTCTTTATGTTTCATTTCAAAAGAATTTCTTCTCATCTGAATTTCTGTGTTAGTTTAATAGTTACAATTGCCTAATTTATTTTACTGAATTAACTTATGCAATTTAATAACAGGTGTCCTTTACAGAATCACTGATTCTTATATTCTTCCAAATTTTTGTTATCCTCAGTATGTTATCCTCAATAATATCCTTATTCTGATGATTACATAAATAATACATTGCTAACAAAAATTAAAATGCAATACAGACAACATGACTTATACATTTTCATGGATTTGCAATTTGTATTTTGATCCATACATCAGAAAACTATGTAACACTTATTTTTAAAATGAAACTGAAGAATCAGTTCCAGAAC